ATAGGCAGCTGTAGCCAAATGCCATTTAGCGCTTGTCTACATGTAGAATAGAAAACCAAATTATATGGAATTGACGTAAATTTTGACACTTGTCAATGTCGTCCCCATACATTTAGTTTTCTACTATCTCTGTAGACAAGCGCTAAATTGGCGTTTGGCTAATGGCAAAGGTTACAATTATATTACTGTCGTTCGACTCATCACGCCACTGTACTGTCTACAGAGATACACTAGAATAAGCGCTAGGGTAGATTTGAACGACGACACTTAAGCTAAGGATACATTAGGGGACAATTGTCGTACGACAAGTATCGGCCACATGTCAAGCGTAGTCAGCCGATTTCGCCCGACCACTACATAGTATAAAACAAGATCGCTATCCGCCGTCTGTCTGTCCCTATGTATGCTTAGATCTTTAAAACTACGCAACGGATTTTGATGCGGTTTTTTTTAATAGATAGAGTGATTCTGAAGGAAAGTTTATATGTATAATATATGCATATATTATACATATAATTGCGCGCCTTCATCGTACGTCTATGGACTCATAATAGGGTTTTTCAACCATTTAAAAACGACAATTTACTGTATTTTTATAATAACTATCGTGAGACATACTAAATTAACTAAAAACCACGGGTTACTCACGTGAATATACTGAGAAAAGCGTGCGCGATCACGGCGACGTCGCGCAGCTCATGAGGAACAACCCCTCTGTGGTTCGAAACTAGAACTTTTCTCAGTATATTCACGTGAGTAACCCGCGATTTTTAGTTAATTTACTGATTAAATGGCATCAAAATCAGTGTAGCATTTTTTGACAGGGACACATTTTCTTTGATTAATATTTGAGATACATGATACCTTATTTCATTTCCCTGCTTATGTAATACGTAGCTTTTAAATTGTCATTCCCAAATATTGATCTATCCATCCTACACGATTCCATCATAATCGGCCCAGCAGTTTATGAGAATGTACAGAATGAATAACATAATTATGTTTTTTAATAACTAATTTACATTTTAAGTGTATGGGGGTGTGTAGCGCGGTTTAGAATGTGATGGGTGGGCAATTACTTCCAAGTCTCACTGAGACTGGTCAAAATGCTTAGTTTCATACTGTATATTTTCAGATTCGAGTCTCGGATTGGGTTATTATGTCCAGTGTGGGATAGGCTCGCCCTCTATTACATGTGACTCATAACATATAGTGAAAAGTGGGTATTATTTTATATTATATATGAGCATCTCTATCGAACTTAATATTAATATCCTCTCGTAATTCATCTCACCTTGTATACAAGTCCCATGTAATTGGGAGTGAGCCTATTACCATATACCGTCCACGAAACCCGTATTCATTAAAACTGCATTACTAAAAATGTTTTAATATAAATATCGAACCCGAGACTACACGACAGTGATTACAACCACTCGATCAATGACGTAACATAAATAAGTTCATTTTACGAGAACACTTGTAAAATACATGAAGTCACGCAAAAATACATTTTGAATATAAATAAATAAGGTGCACTTTAGTTTGACACTATTTCATTAGGTCCAGATAATTAGTCGCGCCACCATAGTGTCTACAGAGACGCCAAAACAAACACTAGGATTGAACTGGTTGCGCTACCAAGTAGCCACCAGGTGAGATACCCTCCATACATACATTTTATACTGTCAAACACCGCGAGGACACCGGTGACCGCAACCTATTGTTCTTTAATTGTGTCTATAATGACGGTATTCAAAGGGTTAAGTGTGGGAGAGCCATGCTTCGGCATGAATGGGCCGGCTTGACCGGATACCACGGCCGAGCAGAAAACCGACGTGAAGCAACGCTTGCGTTGTATTTCGTCGTCTGAGTGAGGTTACTGGAGACCCCCGCCTTCCTCAATCCCTGAATCCTCAACAATCCTCAAATTCAAATTTCCAAAAGGCCGGTAACGCTCAAAAAATTACTTAAAATTAACACAATTACATAACATAACATCACGCCTTTCATCCCCGAAGGGGTAGGCAGAGGTGCACATCATACCACTGTACAATGTAACACCCACTTTTCACTATTTATGTTATGAGTCCCATGTAATAGGGGGTGCGCCTATTGCCGGCTGGCCGGTAAAAGGCCGGTAACGCACTTGTAACGCCTCTGGTGATCCCGGTGTCCATGGGCGACGCCAATTGCTTACCATCAGGTTATCCGTCTGCTCGTTTACCGGCTTATCTTATCTTATACTATTATAAAGCGGAAGTGTTTGTTTTTTTGTTTATTTGTTTGAACGCGCTAATCTCCGTAACTACAAGTCTGATTTGAATAATTCTTTTTGTGTTGGATAGCGCATTTATCGAGGATGGCTATAGGCTATAAAACATCACGCTACGACCAATAGGAGCTGAGCAGAGCGTGTGAAACCGCGCAGAAGTAGTTCCTTAATAAAAACATGTCATTGGTTGCGCGACCAGCCTAATGAAACAAGTATCTAAAATATGAAATAATTTTCACTTTCTAAAAATACATGATATACGAATTTCGATCTTATTCCTAATGAAATAAAGTAAAAAATAACATCGAGAACTAAACCAATAATACATTAAATAAAGAAAATATTGCATTGAAATGGCTTTAAAGCGATTTATTGCTTGATATATCGCAAATATTAAAAACCAGTTAATCTTGGACTCGCATTGTATAATCTTTTCGCACATTCAAGGGTAATTTTATACTGGTTTTGCATCAGTCCAGCAATGAGATGTTCTATCCAGCAATAGGATATTTTTCCTAGTAATTGGATAATTTGCACAGCATTCGAATGCTTTGCACAGCTCTGGGATATTTAGCCCAACAACGGGATATTTCTAGCCTATCGGGAAGATATTTTGCCCAACTATGGAATAATTTGCACAGCATTTGAATGCTTTGCACAGCTATGGGATATTTAGCCCAACAACGTGATATTTCTAGCCTATCAGTAAGATATTTTGCCCAGTTATGGGATATTTATCTCAACAACTGGAAATTTCTAGCCTATCAGCAAGATATTTTGCCCAGCTACAGGATAATTTGCACAGCATTCAAATGCTTTGCACAGCTATGGGATATTTAGCCCAACAACAGGATACTACTAGCCTATTAGTGAGATATTTTGCCCAACTACGGGATAATTTGCACAGCATTCGAATACTTTGCACAGCTATGGGATATCTTGCCCAGCACAGAAATATTATGCTTAACAATAGGACGACACATTTATATTGCACATAAACATAAAAAAACTTGATAAGAAAATATTGTCAAAATATTTTATTTTATTATACCTTAACATCACGCCTTTCAAACTCCAAAGGGATAGACAGAGATGTACATACACGATGTAACACCAACTTTTCACTATTTATGTTATGAGTCCCATGTAATAGGGGGTGAGTCTCACTTTAATTTTTTATAATACTTCGCACGGACGCTAATTCCATACTTTGCTACTTTTTTCAAAATATTTCTTTCATAGAAACCTTTGTCCTGTTAATAAGGAACACGATAAAAAGGGATGAAGGCAAATCTAAGATCATAATTAAAAAATATTAGACACGTATTTTTAAACTATAACATAACATAACATCACTCCTTTTTATCTCCGAAGGGGTAGGCAGAGGTGCACATTTCGGCACTTAATGCCACTGTACAATGTAACACCCACTTTTCACTATTTATGTTATGAGTCCCATGTAATAGGGGGTGAGCCTATTGCCATATACCGGGCACATTTTTCCAGACTCCGTGCTACTACTGAGATTTTTAAAAACCCAGTAATACTTTGCCCGACCCGGGAATCGAACCCGAGACCCCTTGCCCGGCAGTCGCACTTGCGACCACTCGGCCAATGAGGCAGATTTTTAAACTATACTTATTTATAATTATTTTCGAAATTGAAGACTTTGTGTTTTGAATGTGGTTATTTTCGCAACCACTGGTTCAAATTAAATAATTATTTTTGTGTGAGATAGTCCATTTACGAGAAAGACTACAGCAGCTGTAACCAAATGCCATTTACCGCTTGTCTACATGTAGAATAGAAAACCAAATTATATGGGACTAGCAGCCCGTCCCGGCTTCACACGGGGTAGACAATTATTTATTTTTGGAAATTTGGATTGTTGTAGTGACATAACTACAATAGTTGGACATATGCTACCGCGGAGATTTTTGTAGTCATTATGATGTTCTTCAATATTGTTGTACATTATTTTGTTCTATCGCTAATAGTTTCGGCAGCGCATTCGACGAAAGACATTTTAAGACTCATTTTTCTACACCTCCGGTTGCATTGTTCAAATTTTACCAAGGATCCCTAATTTTTTTCAAAATGAAATGTAGCCTATGTTAAATTGGAAGAATGTAGCATTCTATTGATGGAAGAAATCGGTCCAGTACTTTTTGGGCCTATTCATTACAAACATACAAAAATAGGTACAAATATTTCCTCTTTATAATATTAGTATAGATTTACGTAAATTTTGACACTTGTCAGTGTCATCCCCATACATTTTGATTTCTACTCTCTCTGTAGACAAGCGCTAAAGTGGCGTTTGGCTAAAGGCCTAGGATATAAAATATCACGCTACGATTGATAGGACCCGAGCAGGGGGTGAAAGCGCGCGGTAATAACTAGTACAAAATACGTGTCCTGAATTTCTTTAACAGATACATTAATTTTACTCATCATCCATTTTACCAATAGGAGGCCATTACCATTTCTAAGCTCACTAGATGGCGCTAATCTACAAAGCAGCTGTCAAAAATTTAATGTCCAATGGCGTGATACTAGCTAACTCCCTATTGGACGAAGAACGAGACAGACTAGCGCCACCTGTTGTCAAAATACAGTAGCCTCCATTCTGATCGGGAATTATGCGGGTACATACATTTTCGGGGATTAATATTATTGTTTTGTATACATTTGGAGGCCCATACATGTGAATTATTCAGTATATTTACAGGTTTTCGTGTAAAAAGTGTAACAGCGTCGCTTCGTAATGTTTTGCGGCGTGCATAGCTCGCAGCGAGTGTCTTTCACCTGGGTAGACCTGCAAAATAAAAAGTAAAATCAGCAATATTACTTTTTACAATATCACACAACACATAGCATAAATAGCTATTGATTAACTGGCTAACCGTTTAGTGACTCTAACTGCAATCCCCAACCTGCTAGCCAAGTGTGGGGATTATGATAGTCCTTTTAAGTTAAGTCTTAAGTTACTGTCAGAAGTTCCTATAGAGTTATATTCTACTCAATTGTGACCTAAATGCAATCTCCAAACTGTTAGCCCAGTGTGGGGATTACGACTCCAACAATTGGCTAAAATTAAATAAATATAATCCTCTATATCTACTTAAATGCAATGCAATCTCCAATCAATTTTCCAAATATGGGGATTCGTAAAGACCTATTTTAAAATTACAATATATTTAATCTTCTACATTGTTGATGATAATGATGGTGATGTAACCGACCTGTACTCGATGTGGTTTCCCCAACCGCACCAGCTCTGCAGTTAGCGCGGCGGTATGACAGAAGTGTACATTCTCGTCAGCTAATCCGTGGATGATTAGCAGTCTGCCTTCCCTGGGGATTGCATAGAAAAATAATATTTAATACTATTTTATACACCGTTAAGTCTATTTTGTACGAGTTCTGTTCAGGGTGCTCACTCTTGAAACCAATCTCAATGTCAATGCAATTTCAATCCAATAAAATCTCAATAACGTGAATAAAATCTCAATGAACGTCGTGGTGGCCCGGAGGTTTAAGACGCCCACTTCTCATGCATAAGGGTGGGGGTTCGAAACCTACCATCGGCAAGTACCAATGTGACTTTTTCCGAGTTATAATTATGTACTTTCTAAGATTATTTAGACACCACTGACAAACGGTGAAGGAAAAACATCGTGAGGAAACCTGGACTTATAATTTCTAATTATAAGTTTGAAATCACCAACCCGCATTGAGCAAGCGTGGTGATTAATGCTCTAACCTTCTCCGTGTGAGAAGAGGCTTTGCTCAGCAGTGGGCATTTATAGGCTGTTGATGATGATGATGAAAATCTCAATAATATTAATTAATTTATTCCAAATCCTAAACGTGAGGACTTGGCTCATTGTTACCTACGCCTATTGTTATTTTTATCCATTTTTATAAGCTGTAAGTCCTCCATGAATTATAAATAAATAAATAAATAATTATTCAATGTCAACACTATACAACCACAATCGTAGCTATTACAATAGCATTCAGAGTACAGAATATAAAGCAAAACTCAATACCATTCAGTTCATTTAATATCCACACAATACGGACGCAATGGGCGAGTGTTGCAAATCAAGAGTACGAAATTTCACAATACCAATGTCGATCGATCGGAATTGGATTCAAGAGTAAGCCCCCTGAGGTGTGCGTGCTGTCTTGTTCTCGAACGCCCCGTCATACACTGTTGCCATTCTTCTTTCCCTTCTTCTTTCAATCTGCCATTATCTCAATAAGAATGGCAACAGTGTATGACGGGGCGGCGCCCGCGTTTTGCGAATTGAATGAATTCGATGCAGTGCGGCATCACTGGATGGTTTTATGCCAATAACTCAATACAAATTAATACGTATATTTTTTTGTATAAAAAATAAATGACTTAATCAATAGTTTATACCTACTATTATAATCTTCAAACATAACACTACCTCCCATTAAAGCCGTGGCAGATAATTATATAGCACCTTATACAAGGTGTATTTTCAAAAGCGCAAAACCTTTTAGGATATGATTCTACCCATAAAAACAAACAACTTTTATTATGGCACCAACTCGGAAATCGCGAAAAAAATATCAGCTGATCGCTAAGAAAAGTTCAATGACCCCGATCATAATGTATGAAGAATCAAATGTTTTTTAGTTAATCAAAGTAGTTTTTGGATAGTTGGGCGCTGATAGCGGTAATTGGGTGTTGGTAGTGATAGTTGGGCGCTGATAGTGATAATTGGGCGCTAATAATGATAGTTTGGGCACCAATAGTCTTAACTAGGCCGGTAGTCACAAATACTTACTGATCAGGAAAGAAGGGTGCATGAGCCAGTACACTGGCCCTGGTATACGCGTGGGGACTCCTTGAAGGGGGGCCCATGTAACGCTCCGTGTAGGCCGTGTCGTAAAGGCGCCAGCAGGTTACTGGCGCCCCTGCTACACAGGCCCGGAATATACCCGGTCTGGTCGCCAGGCCGAGTAGTGAAAGATATCCACCTGTGAACAATATCTATACATATAATAAAACTATCGAAGTGAACATTCTGTATATAACATAACATCACGCCTTTTATCCCCGATAGGGTAGGCAGAGGTGCACATTACGGCACTTATTGCCACTGTACAATGTAACACCCACTTTTCACTATTTATGTTATGAGTCTTACGTAATAGGGGGAACCTATTGCCGTATATCGGGCACAATTTCAGACTCCGTGCTACTACTGAGAATCTATAAAGACCCCTTGCCCAGCAGTCGCACTTGCGACCACTCGGCCAACGAGGTACATTCATCAACAGCCTATAAATGCCCACTGCTGAGCAAAGCCTCTTCTCACACGGAGAAGGTTAGAGCATTAATCACCACGCTTGCTCAATGCGGGTTGGCGATTTCAAACTTATAATTAGAAATTAAAAGTTCAGGTTTCCTCACGATGTTTCCTTCACCGTTTGTCAGTGGTGTCTAAATAATCTTAGAAAGTACATATAACTCGGAAAAAGTCACATTGGTACTTGCCGTTGAGAAGAGGGGGTCTTAAACCTCCGGGCCACCACGACACATTGAAACGAGGTACATTGAAAATATTAAAAAAAATAATAGTAGGGGGTGTACTACATGAGACACCTAACCCAAAAATGGGATATATACACACGAAAAATCAAACTTAATTGTGCGGCTCAATCCTTAGACACAGTTACTGTACCAAACGCAAATATAACTTTGTCGAATGTTAGGTTGCCCACAGTGGACTTTACACTATAACCTGTAGGGTTGAAATTAGCTTGAAATGATATTATAAATGTGAAAACATGTGAGTTTGTGTGCATGTTTGTTACTCAGTCACATCAAAACGGCTGAAGGAACAACATAACACATACACATAACATAACATCACGCCTTTCATCCTCAAAGGGGTAGGCAGAGGTGCACATTATGCCACTGTACAATGTAACACCCACTTTTCACTATTTATGTTATGAGTCCCATGTAATAGGGGGTGAGCCTATTGCCATATACCGGGCACAGTTCCAGACTCCGTGCTACTACTGAGATTTTTTTTTTAAAAACTCAGTAATACTTTGCCCGACCCGGGAATCGAACCCGAGACCCCTTGCTCGGCAGTCGCAATTGCGACCACTCGGCCAACGAGGCAGCGGCTGAAGGAATTAGGATGAAATATAGAACAGGGGCATAATCAACCCCTAAAAATTGGCTAAACAAAGCAAAAAGTTAGTATATCGTATGTAAACTTACCGTAGCTCCATCCATGTATAGCTACCCTCTCCATATCTATACAGCCTGTCTCCTTGGCCAACCATTGCAACACCTCGACCTGAAACAATATAATACAATGTGGCCCTATATAAGGTCTTCATGCATCAGTGATAGTTTAACCAATTTAGTTAATGAAGTATGTTAGATGTAAGAAAATATGTCCTAACGGGGCTGACATGTCGCGGAGAACCTAACGGGTAACCGGGGCTCCGGCTCGACGTGCAGGAGAAGGAACAGGGTGGTTTTTAGTCAGTAAGAGTCGGCCTCCCGCCTCACCCAGGCGGGAGCAGTCATTCGATGATATTCCCCCCTTAAAAAAAAAACAAAAAAAGAAACGGGGCTGACATGTTCCTAAACGAAAAGTCCCTAAAACCATGGATAATAAACAAAAATATAATACAATGTATCGGAATTCTGATACAATAGTATAGAAGTCTCATTTTAATTTTAATATCCGTCTGATAGATTATTTTAAATCATTAGACATGTATTTTTTATTTTCTTACAGAAACGAATACTTTCGACGATATATTGATTTGAAATGTCGCGTGACGTCTGCGGACTGCACGGTTGGTGCGGGTTCGATTCCCGCACGGAACAATACTTTGTGTGATCCACAAATTGTTGTTCCGGGTCTGGGTGTCATGTGTATGTGAACTTGTATGTTTGTAAACGCACCCACGACACAGGAGAAAATCCATGTTGGGCAAAGTATAAAAAAAGGAATACGCTCTTTTCTTGAAGGTTTGAAGGTCGTACCGCTGACGACAGATAATTTTTTTTATGGAATAGGAGGCAAACGAGCGGACGGTACACCTGATGGTAAGCGATCAGCGCCGCCCGTGGACACCCGCAACACCAGAGGAGTCACAGGCGCGTTGCCGGCCTTTTAAAAAGGAATACGCTCTTTTGAAGGTTTGAAGGTCGTATCGGTTCGGAAATACCGCCAACGACAGATCATTCCACAGTTTTGCTGTGCGACGCAGAAAGCATCGTGTGAAGCGCACAGTAGTGGCCTGCCGACCATCTATATAATGGGAATGGATGTATGTATGTGTGTTCATAACTGACCTGATCATCTAACTCGATCTGGCCGAGCTTGCCCTTAATGGCGGCCTCCCACGCCCTGCCGCGGTGCTTGGAGCCGCGCGAGTCCACCGCCACTACGTTGAAACCGCGCGCCGCTAGCATATGCATGCGGAGCTGGCGAATACCCTGGGGATTAATGATAAGTAATATTATAGGTCGTCGCTCATGCATGAGGGTGCGGGTTTGAAACCTACAGACGGCAAGTACCGATGTGATATTTTCCGAGTTATATGTACTTTCTAAGATTATTTAGACACCACTGACAAACGGTGAAGGAAAACAGCGTGAGGAAACCTGGGCTTATAATTTGTAATTATAAGTTTGAAATCGCAATCCGCATCGAGAAAGCGTGGCTATTAATGCTGCCTTTGCGTTTAAGAAGAGGCTTTGCTCAGCAGTGGGCATTTAATGGCTGTTGATGATGATGATGATGATGATGATGAATATTACATCCACTTGAATGTATAAACAAAAATTGATTCAAATTAGTTCAGCTGTTTAGGATAAATAACCTAGAAACCTACTGCAGCGCCATCTGCCGGGCTGATTTGTGAATCTAAACCATTCCCAGATCCCCTTGAACGCACACAAAAAGTTTCATCAAAATCGGTCCAGTCGTTTGAGAGAAGTTCAGCGACATACACACTCACAGAAGAATTATATATGTATATAAAGATAGATACCTTGTAACTATTTGTAACAGTCTGGACCTCGGGTCCCCCATACACGTGTAACACGGTAGGGCTCCGCCCCGCGCGGCCGCAGCGCCATAGAGTGCAGTAGGCCGTCGCCCCACATGATAGACGGGTCTCGAATATTTGGGGCGGAGGGATGTCGGACAGGCTTAGCGAACGTTCTGGAATAAAACATGGTTTAATCGAACCTGTCAAAGTGTGAGAGCGCCATGCTTCGGCTACTATTATGGGTCGGCTCGACCGGAGCGACACCACCAACGAGCTGGACACCATAGAGAAACAACGCTTACGTCGTGTGAGTGAGGTTACCGGAGGCCCAATTATCCCGCCATATTACCCTCCCCCCTTTCCCAAGTCTAGAGATCCCGGAATCCCCAACAATCCTCAATATTCCTAATCCGTAAAAGGTCGGTAACGCACTTGTAACGCCTTTAGTGTTCCAGGGCCTTTAGCCAAACGCCACTTTAGCGCTTGTCTACAGAGAGATTAGAAATCAAAATGTATGGGGATGACACTGACAGGTGTCAAAATTTACGTCAATCCCATATAATTTAGTTTTCTATTCTACATGTAGACAAGCGCCAAATGGCATTTGGCTACAGCTGCAGGTGTCCATGGGCGACGCCGATTGCTTACCATTAAGTGATCCGTCTGCTCGTTTACCGGCTTATCCCATAAAAAAGTGCGACTGACGGGCAAGGGGTGTCGGGCTCGATTCCCAGGTCGGGCAAATTATTATTGGGTTTTTAAAAAAATTCTCAGAAGTAGCAAGGGGTCTGGAATAGTGGAATTGCGCCCGGTATACGGCAATAGACTCCCCTCCTACTACATGGGACTCAACATAAATAGTGAAAAGTGGGTGTTACATTGTACAGTGACATTAAGTGCCGTAATGTGCACCTCTGCCTACCCCTTCATATTATATCTTCAGCTACTATAATGTTGGGCAAAGTATTATTGTTACCTCTGATTAACGATCCGGTTTCGCTATCCGTGTCCTCCTCGCCGTCCCGGCTGTCCCACGAGCCGTTCAGGCTCCTCACTTCAGTGCATTCTGGAAAAATAAAATCTAAATAACATCATTGCTGTGTATCTGTATATAATATCACTAGCTTCAGCCAGCGGCTTCACCCGTGAACCCGTGGTATAAAAAGTAGCCTATGTACATACATTATTATGTTTTCGGCTTACTCACGTAATTATTTGTGAGGAACAGTAGCAGGTCGCGGAATGCTGCTCATGAATATGAGCCTCTAGCATAGCTTGAAACTAGTAGACTTTCTCATCAATTTCTATTTTTTTAATTACATGAGTCGATTCCCGGGTCGGGCAAAGAAAGAAAGAAAGAAAAACCATTTATTTTTGCGCAAAACACCCATGACATAATTAAAAAATAAAAATAAAATAAAAGCTAAAAAATTTAAATGAAGTGAAATCTTGTCCATGGTCCACAGACTTATTATTTTACGAAATCGTAGAATACTTACTATCTAATATTATCTGTGGACCATAGACAAGGAAAGTATCACTGGGTTTTAAAAAAAATCTCAGTAGTAACACAGATCCTGGAATTGTGCCCGGTACATGGCAATAGTCTCATCCCCTATTACATGGGACTCATAACATAAATAGTGAATAGCGGGTGTTACATTGTACAGTGGCATAATGTGCACCTCTGCCTACCCCTTCGGGGGTAAAAGGCGTGATGTTATGTTACGTGAGTAAGTCATTAAACGTAACTAAAAGGTAATTAGGCATCCGGTAACCTCGCTTACGAAGAAACAACGCAAGCGCTGTATGTCGGTATTCTGCTCGGCCGTGGTATCACTCCGACCCAGCAGTGCCGAAGCATATCCCACACTTAAAGTGTGTGTATTCGGTACTCAATCATATCAAAACGACTGTAGAGATCGGGATGAAACTTGGACCAAGGGTAGATTATGGCCAACGGACGGCGAGCACGGGTGACTCGCCGTCTGACCAGAACCAGACCCGAGCGTACGGCGCCGAGCGTTCCGCGCGCGCCTCAAGGAGCCATCAGACCACCACAGATGGGGCCCAACAGGGCTGAAGCCGATACGGAGCCGCGGAAGACTTAACGGGTTACCGGGGCTCCGGCTCGAAGTGCAGGAGAAGGAACGGGGTGGTTTTTAGTCAGTAAGAGTCTGACACTCCCTCCCGCCTCACCCAGGCGGGAGAAGTCATTGGATGATTTCTCCCCTCAAAAAAAAAAGAGTAAATTATGGACTGCAATAACACATAGGCTTATCCCACAGGAACACGAGTGAACTAGCGGCAGAAACTAGTATTTAATATTAGTAGGATGGTACGATTAACATTTGTATTGTAACTTTCGTGAGACATACTAAATAAATCATTATGTTTCCGGCTTACTCACGTAATAATTTGACGAGGAACTCGACTAGTTTCAGGTATGGTAGGTATGGTAGGTATTCGGGTATCAATATGAGCCTCTAGCATGGCTTGAATGAAACTAGTCGAGTTCCTGTATAAGTACTTATTTATATTTATTTTGTATGTTTTTATTGTATTATTTTTGTTAGTCTGTAAGTAGTTTTAATTATTAGTTTAGGTTTTCACTGTCTTCTTCTTGTTTGATTGTTTTTTGTTGTTACACACTGTGTCATATAATGTATTTATTTCTCCTCTCGCAAGGCTGCAGGAAGAAATCCCATAAGGGATATGCAGTACCTATGTACCTCTGTTTTGTTATATATATATTTTTTCCTACTGTGTATTGTCTATGTGGTGTACATGAATAAATTAATAAATAAATAAATCATTATTTTAATATTTACCTGATGGAGCTCTCTCGGTGATGCTCCCCTGTACGAGTAGTCGCGGCGGTGTGTGCAGGATACGGTACACCCGCGTCACCGGCGCCGTCGTTATATTGGACGAGGTTATCACTGCTGTACTGCATTCCTAGATGATAAGGTATCATATTAAAATATAATTATAACAGTCCGACAAACGGTGAAGGAAAACATCGTGAGGAAATTTGGGCTATTATTAATAATTTCTAATTTTATTGTAAGTTTGAAATCGCCAACCCGCATTGAGCAAGTGATTAATGCTCAAACCTTCTCCGTGTGAGAAGAGGCATTTGGTCAGCAGTAGCCACTTATAGGCTGTTGATGATGATGAATAGTTTAGTGTATTCTAGAAAAGATTAAGTCGGTAAACGAGCAGACGGATCACCTGATGGTAAGCAATCGGCGCCCATGGACACCTGAAACACCAGCGGCGTTACAAGTGCATTACCAGCCTCATTAAAAAGGAGTACACAGCTATCTAGGGACAGTACCCCTACCCTCCATGCAGGTGTTATCTGTGATTATAGTACCTTAGTCGGGTATATGACACCCAGGGGAAGAGTGAGGATGGTAGACCCAACCTTGCCTATTATAGCTCAACCTTACCTCATCAATATCAACAGTGCAAGAATGTCCGACAGGTGTCAGCAGGAGCACGGCGTGAGGTCGCGGCGGAGACAGGGGCGCTACGTATAGATGGCGCTCCAGTGGCGTCTCGCGGAGCCCAACGAAATATACAAGTTGTCGAACTGTGTCTACCTGTGGGGATACAAAAAAAAAACATTCGTTTATTTCAGAAAATAAGAAAAGTAAAAAAAATGGTTTGAGAATCGCGTTACTTCTCGTTAAATGATAATTGGGTAGATTCCAGGTAATCAAAATTAAAAATCTAATTAGTCCGTCAGTTACATAACGAAAAAATATTAGACACGTATTTTTTTTATTTTGCCATATTAAGTTGCAATACTTAGATAAAACGAATCAAAGTTTAGGAGTGGGGGCTAAAACGTCATATTTTCTATGTATAAATGTGTATTTGTGTATTATTATCTAACTGACGGACTAAATACATTTTTAAATTTCATACCTCGTCATCATTACTATAGTATTTTAGGGAACAGAGAGTATAGTTCCCTAAGATCGGAAAAGGAGGATCCTCCGACCAGGCGAGGTGATCGTGCCTGGCGGGCTTTCTGCCCAACAGTTGTTCGTTGGGATTTTCTATCCGTGTTTATTCGCTTGTAAACTTTGCATGTGCGATGTAGGATTCTTGTGACGTCATCCGTTGACATGTGGCATGCGTCGCCACACCAGTATAAAATTATAAATTAATTATTGTTTTTCGGCATGGCTTGAAAGTAGTCGAGTTACTCGTTAAACAGTTACTTGAGTAAACCGAAAATTACAATGATTAATTTAGTATGTACGAAACTTATAATAGAAACAAATCCTTACTAATATTATAAATCGGAAAGTGAGTTTGTTTGTTTGTTTGTTCCGACTTCACGCCATAACTACTAAACCGATTGCTTTGAAATTTTGCAGACGTAAAGTTAGAAGTCCGGATTAAATAATAGGATACTTTATATCCCGGAAAATTTGATATTCCCGAGGGAAAACAAAAGTATTGGTATAGATGGCGCTGTGTGTATTGGTATATGTCACATTGGCTTTTTATCCTTTTGTGACGCGAGCGAAGCCGCGGGTAAAAGCTAGTATTTAATAAATGTTATGTATGTTTGTCCACTACTCACCCATATCTTCCTGGACATCACCTCCCACTCTCCAGCAGTGATCGGCTCCTTGCTGATCATGTTCGGTCCCACAGCGTTGCTCTCATCTTCATTTATCATCTCAATTACTGCTGTCGACAAAATATATCGTTATACAATATCTTTATCACTACATAGTATAAAACAAAGTCGCTATCCGCCGACTGTCTGTCCCTATGTATGCTTAGATCTTTAAAACTACGCAACGGATTTTGATGCGGTTTTGATTAATACATTTTTTTAAGGGGGGAAAATCATCGAATGACTGCTCCCGCCTGGGTGAGGCGGCAGGGAATTTCAGACTCTTACTGACTAAAAACCACCCCGTTCCTTCTCCTGCGCTTCGAACCGGAGCCCCGGTTACCCGTTAGGTTCTCCGCGACTCCGAATCGGCATCGGCCCTATTGGGCCCCATCTGTGGTGGTCTGATGGCTCTTTGAGGCGCGCGCGGAACGCGACGCGCCGTACGCTCGGGTTGTTTAATACATAGTGTTTCTTAACCAAGGTTTATATGTATAATACATGCATAATATAGTAGAAAAACATTGACAAATTTAGAGGTTTCTAATGTGATGTCGTAAATAAGCAAAAGCTAGTACATACGACGCGACTTCGCTAAAAAATTGACAGTCAAATTAAAGATTTTGACTGCACAGTTGGCGCGGTGGCTGGGCAACTGGCTGCCGCGCAACGTGTCGCGGGTTCGATTCCCGCACGGAACAATTCTTTGTGTGAACCACAGATTGTTGTTCCGGGTCTGGGTGTCATGTGTATGTGATATTGTATGTTTGTAAACGCACCCACGACACAGGAGAAAACTAGTGTGTGGCAACGTTTAAATAAAAAAAGATTGTAATGAATGTAACTCACTGCGTTTTTGCCCATGGCTCCTCTGTATAAGAGCACACGTCACCAAATACAGGTGTAGATGGCCCGACTCCTCGCTGGCCCAGATGAAGTTCATCTCATTACCGCTTGATGGTAAGAAGTATAGTATGTCGTGGACGTTGATCCAGGCGTCTGGCGCCGTCTCCGAGACCAGGATTTGTATGTCTTGTATTGGCTGTAGTAAACATAGAGGTCTTTGTTAATATAGACATATTTGCGCCCGAATACTGAAAGGGTACTCAATTTTAAATTGTGTTTAAGTATAGTTCTGTATATTATACTAGCGGACCCGACAGGCGTTGTCCTGTAATAATAGGTATAGATAAATAGCCTAGAAACCGACTGCAGCGCCATCTGCATTCCCAGATCCCCTTGAACACACACAAAAAATTTCATCAAAATCGGTCCAGTCGTTTGAGAGAAGTTCAGTGACATACACACTCACAGAAGAATCCTTACTAATATTATAAATCGGAAAGTGAATTTGTTTGTTTGTTCCGCTTTCACGCCGTAACAACTAAACCGATTGCTTTGAATTTAAAGTTAGAAGTCTGGATTAAATAATAGGGTACTTTTTATCCCGGAAAAATGATATTGATATTCTCGAGGGAAAACGTAGGCTACTTTTTATCCTTTTGTGACGCGAGCGAACCCGCGGGTATAAGGTAGTTATATATATAAAGAAGATAGTAGAGTCTAAGGAACCCAGTTAAAGTTATTTTTTTAAAATTCCGGTATATATTAGCTGAAAACCATAGAATTAAAAATTCAATATTTAAATAGTGGGCCAAAATGCTAATTTGACAATATGGCGCTGCAGTGAGGTCGGTGACGTCACTTGCCTGTCGCCTGTATTCTTATCTGTGACAGTTAGCATATATATTTGTTTTGTATTTACAAGCAGGTGGCGTCATTATAAACGCGACCAACCAGGAGCGTTTTGTGTCACGTGACAAACGTTTAAAAAATGCAATAATCACCACCGGTGCTCTTCCCGCGGGTGTCGTATACCCGACGACGATGCGACTATAAAGACAGAGACCGGGCAGCAGCGCTCTCTGATAAACCTGAACCTTTTATACTGCGATCTCCAACCCAAGTATAGAAACGAGTACGATTTGAATAATCCTTATTGTGTTTGATAGTGCATTTATCGAGAAAGGCTTTAACCCCTCGAGCGTCCTTATGAGCACCCGGTGGATCATAAGAAAAAATGCTCCATGCTGCTTTCTCTTTTATAAAACCTATTATTAATGTTTTGTTTTTATTTTGACTGTATTTTTTATTTCTATTGTAATGATCCTTGTTTTCGTGTGCAAATGGCCAAATAAATGCATTTTCTTTCTTTATTTCTTTCTTTCTCCAAATGTCACGTGTGCACCCGTTGGAACATAAGGAACGCGGACACTCGACGGGTTAAAACATCACGCTACGATCGATAGGAGCCGAGCAGAGTGGGTGGAACCCCGCGTAAGTAACTAGTTCTATATGACTGACCTGTTCATAGCTAGTAGACGGTTCGTGGCGTGCGCTGACGGCGCCGGCCATGTCGTAATGCGCCGGCGCACAGAACTGTGACAGTGGAATGAGGACCAGCTCCAAACGCTGCTGCTTTCTGTCCAGGAGTTGGGCCCAAACACTGCAAGAAGAGATATATCATCATTAATTATATATGGCAACACTCAATTTGGTTAACACTCAAAAGCGATATGATTTGAAATGCTCATAGGGTTGCCTTAGTTCACATGTGCAGTGTGTTAAGGATCGGATTTCTGATACCGATAAAAATCATATAAAGGGAAGGTCATGTCCCTAACTAATTTCAACACAACAATAACACAACAATTAAAATACTATGTATAGTATTTTATACAGTTATTAAAATACTATGTATAGTATTTTATACAGTTATTAAAATATTATGTATAGTATTTTATACAGTTATTAAAATACTATGTATAGTATTTTATACATTTATTAAAATATGTATAGTATTTTACACAGTTATTAAAATATTATGTATAGTATTTTATACAGTTATTAAAATACTATGTATAGTATTTTATACAGTTATTAAAATATTATGTAGAGTATTTTATACAGTTATTAAAATACTATGTATAGTATTTTATACATTTATTAAAATATGTATAGTATTTTACACAGTTATTAAAATACTATGTATAGTATTTTATACATTTATTAAAATATGTATAGTATTTTACACAGTTATTAAAATATTATGTATAGTATTTTATACAGTTATTAAAATACTATGTATAGTATTTTATACATTTATTAAAATATGTATAGTATTTTACACAGTTATTAAAATACTATGTATAGTATTTTATACAGTTATTAATTATTGTACAGTTGACGACCCATATCAGACTCCTATTGTTGCTCCATCTAAAGATAGTCCGTAAGAAATCACCTAGTGCGATAGGACCGCTCATTGTACACTAAATTTGTTAGGTAATATTGTCCTGTAGTACGATTGTGTGGTGTACAATAATGCATATATTATTATTATATCAAAATATACTCACTACTGTCCGTCAGGAGTCCAGCCCACCCTGGCCAGGTATTCGAACCAGGGGAAGCATTCCTTCAGCGGCTGCTTCAGCTCGTACCATCGCAGGTCCACCACTTCCATGCAACCGTTGCTTGTGTCGCCTACTGGAATATTTAACCAATTTCTTAATATAACTAGCTACTTCCGCGCGGTTTCACACGCTCTGCTCAGCTCCTATTGGTCGTAGCGTGATGTTTTATAGCCTATAGCCATTCTCGATAAATGCGCTATCCAAAACAAAAACATTTTTTTTTAATCAGACTTGTAGTTACGGAGATTAGCGCGTTCAAACAAACAAACAAAAAAACAAACTCTTCCGCTTTATATAATAAGTATAAAAGTATGAAATATAAGAACAGATAGTATATAGTATAAGATTATAAATAAATGTGAAAATTTCATTGTTTGTGTGTTTGTCCGTCAATCACGCTGAAACTACTGAACGGATTTTGATGACACTTAGTATACAGGCAGGGTGTGGGCTGACTTAGGTGATCGGATACTTTTTATCCTGATTAAATGCTCCCATGGAATAAAACAGGAATCATATTCTACGCGGACGCAGTCGCGGGAGACAGCTAGTAATAAATAATGGTAAAGTTCATTAAATAAATCGAAATGATACAGGTATTTTAGTAAACTTTACATAAACTACTTTTCTGAGAAACCCGTCTTGTTTCGAGTTTTACCAGGATTCATAAAATGTAACTTGAAGAAGGTTGGGACACTATGATGATTATGGGCCCCATTGTGCCACGAAATCAGTCGAGCATCCTCGAAAACTCTATGTAAGTAATCCACATAATAGTTAAAACAAAGAAAATAAAACTGCGTGACTGCACGGTTGGCGCGGTGGCTGGCTAAATGGCTGCCGCGCAACGTGTCGCGGGTTCGATTCCCCGCACGGAACAACTATTTGTGTGATCCGGATTGTTGTTCCGGGTCTGAGTGTCATGTGTATGTGAACTTGTATGTTTGTAAACGCACACACAACACAGGAGTAAATCCTAGTGTGAGACAACGTTTAAAAAAAATGAAGCCAGGATACCTTGTTAGATTTACAACCGGAAATTAAAAAGCTATATTAAACATTAACCATTGAATTTCTGATAAAAACTTTATTATTAATATTGATTCTTATTAATAACCGATATGTTATATTCTGCCTACCCTCTTACTTACAGTGTTCAGAAGCTCCCTCGTGGTAATAATCCAGGACGGTGGAAGAAGTCGCCTTCTGAAGTCTGAATGTCAACATCTTCAGTGAGGACTTGGCGTTAGGAGTACCAGCTCTAGGAAACCTAGTAGGATTAGAAGTCACGATTATTTTTTTAAACAGTGCTGCGATAGTATTGGCTACTTTCTAAGATTATTTAGACACCACTGACAAACGGTGAAGGTAAACATCGCGAGGAAACCTGGGCTTATAATTTCTAATTATAAGTTTGAAATCGACATACCGCATTGAGCAAGCGTGGTGATTAATGCTCAAACTTTCTCTGTGTAAGAAGAGACCTTTGGTCAGCAGTGGCCACTTATAGCATTTTTTCGCCATCGACCCTCATGACAACATATGCATCCCCATCATATAGATGGTTGGCAGGCCACAACTGTACGCTTCACACGATGCTTTCTGCCTCGCACAGCGACACTGTGGAATGATCTGTCGTCGGCGGTATTTCCGAACCGATACGACCTTCAAACCTTCAAAAGAGCGTATTACTTTTAAAAGGCCGACAACGCAACTGTGGCTCCTCTGGTGTTGCGGGTGTCCATGGGCGGCGCTGATCGCTTACCATCAGGTGATGCGTCTGAAAAAATATCTGAAAAAATTGGCTGTTGATGTGTTCTTGGGCCTCCGGTAATCTCACTCACATGACGAAACACAACGCAAGCGTTGTTTCATGGTATCGCTCCGGTCAAGTCAGCCCATTTACGCGGCTGCACAGAAGCATGGATTTTTTATATGATTTGACCACATAGGTAAAGCCGAAATGATTTTGTAAATGCGTGATTATGTACTGGATTCCTACCTGAACTCCTCCACCTCCCCGCTGGTGGACTGCGAGGACGGGAAGCAGTAGATCTTCACCTCGCTCTCGTCCACCTCCTCGTAGACTATTCTGTATATGTCATCTGAAATTGGGATGATGACAGGGTATGAAAATTAAAAATGTAATTAGTCCGTAAGTTAGGTACTTAATGAAAAAATATTATTTTATTTTGTCGTATAATAAAATGATACTTAGATAAAACGAATCAAAGTTTAGGAGTGGGGGCTAAAACGTCATTTCTACGTATAAAATGAACATAGAAGTGACGTCACGCGACATTTCAAATCAGTATATCGTCGAAAGTATTCGTTTCTGTAAGAAACTAAAAAATACGTGTCTAATGATTTAAAATAATCTACCAGACGGACATTAAAATAAAAATTAGGTATCTACCTTAATATGCAGCCAATTCATTAATAACAACGGTTTTATCTGTATTCCCAATTCCCAAGACGACAAGAAAGTGTGATTATTTTTTAATATTTTTTTATTGTACTGAACAGTCGAAATAATTTTATTGCCGATTTGCCGATTGCTTACCATCAGGTGATCCGTTTGCTCTTTGCCTTACATAATTGTTGTCTGCCACGAGCTGTAGATGATGATGAAATAGACAAGAGACGTACCTTCAGCCTGTGGTTGCCACCAGAAACCGGTGTACCGGGAGAACTCCTCCTGCGTCACGTAGCATGGGACTCCAGCCTGGCGAGGGTCGTCTGCTAACCTGGAGGGAGGGGTCATGATTATAATGGGTAGGCCAGTGGGCCTGGAATCAAATATCTTTAATAATGATTAACAAATTGATTTGATTTGATAGATATTTGGTAGTCTCCGTAATTTGATCCTTGAAAACTAATCCAAATTCAATACGTAATGTTTTCGAACTGTCAAAAACGACAATTTTCTATGAATTTTGTACGAGATTGTGTATTGTGACGTCACGTTTTTTAGCGTCAAACAGCATATGTTATTTCTTAAAAATTGGCTGGAAAGATACTAAAATTAAGTTGGTCATAAAATCAATTAATGAAAGTGTGATTGTTTTTCAATATTTCATTGTATTGAACAGTCGAAATAATTTATTTTTGATTGACGAAAGTACCCAATTCCATACAAGATGAAGAAGTCTAAAAATGACAAGCAACTTTGTTGGTTGGTGTTTGCAAGCACGGGTAACAACGCCCAACTATGATTAGGTATTTGTTGGTGTTAAAAAGTACTGCCTGGTTTATCAAGTGGAATTTATTTTTACTATTAAGATCATTGCTATTTGCTTTTACTGCAGCACAGAGCTACATACTCATGCACGCTTGACCCTGTAACTTGTACTTATTCACATCACAAGTGACCTTTAAACTAGACTGGACATAAGCACTACTAAGCAGTCCTGATTTCGATTCCTGGATTAGGCAAAAATATAAGGTGTTCTATAATTTTATGCCACGGCTTTAATGGGAGGTAGTGTTATGTTTACAGATTACAATTGTGAAGAAATTTCGTACCCCGGACCAGTTAATTACATACAGTAATTAAGTAAACATTGACTACATTCTGCATAATGTGGTTCACAAATTACGCGCGATGCGTCGCTTAGTCAATGAAAACAATTGCTATCTCTTTCCACGTGTACTGAGAATGAAAACGGAAATCAGCTGACTAGTTCGTCACTAACTAATCTACTAGATACTCAATAGGCAGGCTAACAAGGGTTTTAAAAGTGCAATTACTTACCAGGTACGGCATTCTTCCGAAAAGCTGATGTAGGTAAATAAGATTATAAACTTCCCATCACACTTAAAACAGTTTTTTACACACTCTCTACCTACTTATCTACAAAACTGTTGCACAAGTCCACCTTCGCGTTGCACACAAATAAAGGCACGCTTCCAAACATGTCATATCACATTATTTAACGTGTCCGTTTCACTTTTACTTTGTTTCGCGTTTGACTCCACAAGTTATTGTCACTATCATCGTAAACTCCGGCGGTATCCCTTGTGCACGCAAGAAGATGACACCGAAAGAACTCTAACACTTCCTCTTCGAGTTCTGATTTGAATTTCGTCGCCTGGTAGTCATTTTTACGTAGCGCGCGCGTATCTCCGACATTAAAACTAACGTGCGGGCAAGCAGGGGTTGACGGGGCTACTGGCGGCCGGGCGGCGCGTGCGACGAGTTCTGCTGGGGTGTGTTGTCTCGTTCTTGAACGCCCCGTCATACGCTGTTGCCATCCTTATCAGACCGCTCGCGCCGGGCGGCTAAGAGCACGCTGCACACCCCCGCGCGCCCGCACCCTCTCCTGCACTCGTCGCACGCGCTGGTCAACCGGCCGCCGGGCAGGCGGGGGTTGAGCTACTGATAAGGATGGCAACAGCGTATGACGGGGCGTTCAAGAACGAGACAGCACACCCCAGCCAGCAGAACTCGTCGCACGCGCCGCCCGGCCGCCAGTAGCCCAGTCAACCCCTGCCTGCGCGGATGTTGTTAGTTTCAATGTCGGGGATACGCGCGCGCTACGTAAAAATGACTCCCAGGCGACGAAATTCTAATCAGAACTCGAAGAGGAAGTGTTAGAGTTCTTTCGGTGTCATCGTCTTGCGAGCACAAGGGATACTGCCGGAGTTTACGATGATAGAGACAATAACTTGTGGCGTCTTTTAAATCAAACGCGAAACATAGTAAAAGTGAAACGGACGCATTAAGTAATGTGATATGACATGTTTGGAAGCGTGCCTTCATTTGTGTGCAACGCGAAGGTGGACTTGTGCAACAGTTTTGTAGATAAGTAGGTAGAGAGTGTGTAAAAAACTGTTTTAAGTGTGATGGGAAGTTTATAATCTTATTTACCTACATCAGCTTTTCGGAAGAATGCCGTACCTGGTAAGTAATTGCACTTTTAAAACCCTTGTTAGCCTGCCTATTGAGTACCTAGTAGATTAGATAGTGACGAACTAGTCAGCTGATTTCCGTTTTCATTCTCAGTACACGTGGAAAGAGATAGCAATTGTTTTCATTGACTAAGCGACGCATCGCGCGTAATTTGTGAACCACATTATGCAGAATGTAGTCAATGTTTACTTAATTACTGTATGTAATTAACTGGTCCGGGGTACGAAATTTCTTCACAATTGTAATCTGTAAACATAACACTACCTCCCATTAAAGCCGTGGCATACAATTATAGAACACCTTATATATTCAATAATAATTACGATAATCCTTATCCTATGGGAAAGTGAGTTTGTTTGTTTGTTCCACTTTCGCGCCGTAACTACTAAAGCGATTGCTTTGAATTTTTGCAGACGTAAAGTTAGAAGTCTGGATTAAATAATAGGGTACTTTTTATCCCGGAAACATTTGATATTCCCGAGGGAAAACAAAAGTATTGGTATAGATGGTGCTGTGTGTATTGGTATATGTCACATAGGCTACTTTTTATCCTTTTGTTACGCGAGCGAAGCCGCGGGTAAAAGCTAGTTTTAAATAGATTATAAGTAATAATACTAACCGATCAGGCTCATGTCCTTTACAGGCATACGTCAGTCGTGTAGGCCGCCTGAGTTGCCCGCCCGCCAGCCAGATGTCGCCCCTAGCGGCATGGGCCACCAACTCAGGGGTTCGGGGACACATTGCCGGAGTTAGGGGCGCACCTCCGCCTGTGTTTAAGCAACGAGGGACGAGGGGAGGTGACTGGAAATAAACAAATTTAAAATTATACTACAAATAATGTGCCGGCTCGACCGGAGTGATACCACGGCCTTACAGAAAACCAACGTGAAGCAACGCTTGGACCTAATTATCCCCCCCCCCCTTCCCAATTCCTGAATCCCCAACAATCCTCGAAAGGCCGGTAACGTACTTGTAACGCCTCTGGTGTTCCAGGTATCCATGAGCGACGCCGATTGCTTACCATCAGGTGATCCGTCTGCTCGTTTACCGGCTTATGCCATAAAAAAAAACGAACAAGGGTAGCCGAGCCGACATAGCCCAGCGGATTAGCAAGTTGAAGTGACAGTCGGCAGGGCACATAGCGCGGAGAACCGATGGCCGCTGGGGCAGAAAGGTTCTCGAGTGGAGGCCACGTACCGGCAAGTGCAGCGTAGGACGTCCATCCGCAAGGTGGACAGACGACCTGAACAAGGTCGCAGGGAGCTGCTGGAGGCAGGTCGCTTCCAACCAGCCTATCTGGAAGTCATTGGGGGAGGCCTATGTTCAGCAGTGGACGTCCTGTGGCTGATATGATAATGATGGTGATGATGATGACGAATCTTTCCTCGGGTGTCATATACGCGATTTCACATAGGCAGGACATGATGATACTGACCTGTGTAGATCCCTCATCGGCTACAAATAACGAGGATGCGCAGGGGAACATGATTTTCCCAGAGCTCTGGTGTAATTCATATGAGGCGATGCCCCAGGCAGCCACCCTCTGCCGTTCCCATAGCAACTGCTCCTCGCGAGACCACTTCCCTGATGACACGCCGAGAGCGACGTTGGATTCGATTAGTGGTTTCCAGTCGAGTCTGTAACAAAAATGTTTTTTTTCCATAACAGTAGGAGGCAGAGTTGCGAATTAAGGTACTTTATGCCACTGTACAATGTAACACCCACTTTTCACTATTCATGTTATTAGTCCCATGTAATAGGGGGTGAGCCTATTGCCATATACCGGGCACAATTCCATAAGCATTTTCGAAAAATGCTTAACCTCTGACCTAGGAACAGACCAGCCCTCTGGTCTCGAGATGCGTCGACCAGATTGAAATATTTTTAAACTAGCGACCCGCCCCGGCTTCGCACGGGTGCAATATGCATGTATTATATGTATAAACCTTCCTTAAAAATCACTCCTTCTATTAAAAAAAACCACATCAAAATCCGTTGTATAGTTTTAAAGATCTAAACATACATAGGGACAGACAGACGGCGGATAGCGACTTTGTTTTATACTATGTAGTGATTAAATTAAGTACTTATGGTAAATGTTTTTAAATCCAAATAAATGTTCGATACAACAAATAATATCACCCAATCGACAGTACTACAATAGTGACACATTCATAGATAAAATGAATAAGAGAAAGTCATGTTTACATAAACAGTGAGATAAATATAAACTATAATTAACTATTTAGTTGTAATTCCATAGATTATCGTGTAACATTGCTTCTATGTCATGTACACACCCTTTATTGACGCATACAACTTAGATTTAAAAAGTAAAAGTTGTTTATAATGGATAAAAGTAACGAAATAAGTATACAGAGCGGATATGAATGGGACTATATATACTGAAATCTTAATACATACATAACATAACATTATGCCTTTTATCCCCGAAGGGGTACGCAGAGGTGCACACTATGCCACTGTACAAAGTAACACCCACTATTCACTATTTATGCTACGAGTCCCATGTAATAGGGGGTGAGCCTATTGCCATTTCCCGACTCCGTGCTACTACTGAGAATTTTTTTAAAACCCAGTATAATTTGCCAGACCCGGGAATCGAACCCGAGACCCCTTGCCCAGCAGTTGCACTTGCAACTACTCGGCCAACGAGGCAGTATAATAAATCAATTATGTCACATAGCTTATTACTGGTTGACTGGGACACAGTGCCTAAGGCATTCATAAAAAATAAGTAAGTACCTAAATAAACAATTATTATTAATCATTTTCCCAGTGGGCTACAACATGAGGTTCGTCAAGAGGGCAGTGAATAGGTTTCTTAAGGGTTGGCAAGACGCATGTAATGCCCCAAGTGTTGCAGGCGTACATAGGCCACGGTAACCGCTTACCATCAGGTGCGCCGTGTGCTTTTTTGCCACTGTCGTGGTAATGACATAAAAAACAAGTATATTACATCATTACAATTTTATATATATTTATTGACATGTCCAAAGTCTAAACACAATAAAAGTCAGATAATGACTTATAATTATTAAAATATTGACCGGTCTGTTTGATTTTAAAGTTATCTGTGTCAATTAGAAGGACACAAAATGCATAATGTTAATGACCTGTATTTTTGTATATATACTAGAGTTGTGGTTGTGGTGGCCCGGAGGTTTAAGCCTGCTTCTCATGCATGAGGGTGCGGGCTTGAAACCTATCAACGGCATGTACCAATGTGACTTTTTCCGAGTTATATGTACTTTATAAGATTATTTAGACACCACTGACAAACGGTGAAGGAAAACATCGTGAGGAAACCTAGGCTTATAATTTCTAATTATAAGTTTGGAATCGCCAACCCGCATTGAGCAAGTGTGGTGATTAATGCTCTAACCTTTTCCATGTGAGAAGAGGCTTTGCTCAGCAGTGGGCATTATAGGCTGTTGATGATACTAGAGTTTATATATTTGCATGCGGTAATCTCCAAAATTACTTGGTCAAATTAAATTATTCTCTTTGTATTCCATTTCATTTAAAGGTTAAGCCGTTAAACAAACAGACAGATCAACTGATGGTAAGCAATCGATGTCGCCCCTAAACACCAGGAACACCACAAGTGTTGCAAGTGTGTTACCAGCCTTTTAGGGTAGAACTTTGAGGATTATTGGGGATTCAGGGATTGAGGAGATAAGGGAAGCCCCCCCTTCCCTTAATTGTTAATTGGGGTTAATTGGGCCCTGGTAACCTCACACAACGAACACACATCTTAAGTGCTGGTTCATGTCGGTTTTTCTGTGAGGCCGTTGTATCACTCCACTCGAGCCAGCCCATTTGTTCCGAAGCATAGCTCTCCCACAATTAAAAATCTTAAAAATTATTTATCGAGGAATTATAAGATATAAACATTCTAAATGTGTCTTAGAAGAATCCATCATATAAATGGAAATTGGACATCAATTACTTTATGACTTTCAACCTGGCAAGAAAACTTGGAGCTTGGTGCTCACATTATAGGTAAACTTAGGTATGAAAGTATGCCCGACTTGCACCAGCATAAAACTTTATGAGTAAAATGGCTCCGGCTCGAAAAATAAGTAGTAATAGGATGGTTTTATTCAGTAAAACACTGGCACTCGTTCGCATCACCCAAAGCACGAGAAGTAATTCGATGATTTTTCTGCCTCAAAACAAAGGGCATGTAAGATCAGTAAGTGCCTTAATTTATGTACTTTAACATTTCTTTTTGTTACACACCAATTATTTATATATCAAAAACCAACAGGCATCAAGAAACAAGGTTCAAAAAACTACAATGGAATTCTAATTAGAATACAAATTACTAAATTAATTACTTTTATAAACAAAAACTAATTTTATAGTCATTAACACATGTAGTGATGTGATTTCAATGAGAATATAACTACATACTATGTTATTGGGATTTCTAGATAACTAATATATTTTTTGTACAATACTACATATGCTGTATCTACAAACAAGAAACATAATAATTATCATGCATGTTACTAAACAAAGGCATCCATTTTTATTTATTTATGGCACTTATCTTTTTTCTCTCAAGGAATCATCCAAACAGCCTGTTTATTTTTAATCCAAGGAAAACCCATACAGCCTTGGTCATTATGTGGCAAAAATAAAACAAGAATTACCTGCTGTTATTTGCTTGTTGTGTTGGTGATACATCAGTGTATAGCAATGTTATCTCCCATCCATTCTGAGGAGTCCTTAGAAAATATATCCTTATCTTTCCATTGGCCAGTTTACGAAAACTTATTGCAATCGGGACCATAGTTGATAGGCATGATAACTCCTTCCGTAAGTCGTGTACGGCCTGCCGTACTTCGGCCCAGGTATATCGTTTCGAAGGTGGGCGAACATAATCTACGGCAGCAGCCCCATCCCCAGCCCCTCTCACCTCCATAATATTAATTTCCATTAATTTTTACACTACCAAAAATCAATTGTCTTCCCTCGGTGAATTTTTATTCATGATGTAACAAAGAACAATAGATATGTCTTCACAGTCACCTAATTCGACTAGTTGAATGAATATTCAAATAGAGATCTCATTATAATATTGAAATTACGCTGATTTGATTTTTGTTTCACTAAAAATAGGGCCAACACACTCGTTTTTGACTTTTAGTTGTCTTGCCAAATGGTCGCTGTCGCTGACCGATCGCACTTCTATCACCGGTTGTAATCTTCATAACTCACTCATTTGTCATTCTCAGCTGTCAACTCGTATCAGAAACTGAAAATCATTCCTATGTTATGATAAAAGACAAATAAATGGATGCAATTCGCCACTTCTACAGTATTTCATTTATTTAACAATTTATGAATAAATCTTACAGATTTTCTTAAAGAAAAATTATTAAACAGAATAAACAGTCTATTTGCGAGATCTGAATGACTTTAATTCGAGTTTCATTCAGTCACATTATCATGCCTCACTGTGTCTCACTCACTGATATGATAAGACTCTCACTACACTAGTAATAAAAAACGAAAGATACCCTAAATGTGGGTACTTCACAGCTGCTGCTGTGTATTTGTTAAGTATCGCTTTTTAATTTTAATAATGCAACCTTATCTCAAACATTAATTTTTCATCGTCATTTTTTCACGAGGTGTATCCAAACGTTTCTGTGGTTACTGCCAACATTACAAATATTTGACAGTTACGTTCAGAAACCACATCATCCACGAAACAATTTAGAAACATTGATTCTTTCTAAATGTACAAATTAATAAAAATAGATTCTACATAAGTTATTTATTTAATTTTGCGTATTCCTTTAACATTAATATATATTACATGAATTAACCATTTTATAAAAATGGAAACATACAGGATATGACAACATTTTTCATAATATTACTGCAGTTCCGGCAACAATAGCCCGCCGAACTGTCAAATCGGAAACATGTCGCATAGCTAACGGATCGACGCTATCGCTTGTTTTATTTGCAATTTTGCCCGTCGCGAACATGGCACGAGTGTTAAATATAGTGCGGACTTGTGGTTTACTAACGTATATATTTTTCTATGTGCACGCAGTAGACAATAATGTCTCGGAACCACGGATAATTTCGTTAAAACTGGAGAGTAAAAAATGTGACAATGAAAATTGTAAATATTTAGTAAATATTAAGGGTGGCGAGTTTTTAGGGCATTATTCGTGGCGGTTGACCCCAGTGGAAGGTTCAGGGGGTGGTGATTGTGACGTCATATTCCCTGATTATGAGTTAAAGGAGGTTTTTACGGCGCAGTGGTCGACGAAACTCGAAATAGTGTTGCCTATTTTAGTTGATAGCAATGTATATTTTTGTGTTTACAAAAATGACGTGAAGAACAGCCCGTTTGGGGGGCGGTGGGTGCACCAGGGCGCGGAGCATTACTTGGACGTTAGAGAAGATTTGTGAGTATTGTTTTTTTAATTATAATCTATCTTTCAGAGGTATTTTCTATTTTTAAATATAGATTTTTTATTTATTCATACGGTAGCACGTAAGTATAATTAATTTACCACAAATACAGAAGAGAACCACATTCTTAACATTACTTTGTCAACCTAGGTAATACACCTCGGTTTAATTTTTTCTATAATTTTTAAAATAATTATTGTATGGACTGATTTTATTTGATTATACGTGAGCAAGGAATTATTTAGTAATACACAATAAAATGGTATATACTTTCATGTTTTCTAGAACCTAGACACTTCCAGAGCCACACCAAGAACCAAAAGGGGGTGGTCCCAAAAAGGGGTGTAATAGAGACACCCCATTTTCTAATTAGAACATTAAACTGTCAAACACCAAGTGGTCACCGGTGACCGCAACCTATTGTTCTTTAACTCGTCGAGTACTGGTTTTATAGACACAATTAAAGAACAATAGGTCGCGGTCACCGGTGACCGCTTGGTGTTTGACAGTTTAATTGTGTCTATAAATACGGTACTCAACGAATTAATATTACAGTTACAGACTAGCTATTACAGCGTGGTTACACCCCTATGCATGGTATCAGCGTGATGCTTTATAGCCTAAACCCTTCCTATAAATGGACTCTCCCCGAAATTCAAATCGGATCAGTTCTTCCTGAGATTAGCGTGTTTAAACAAACAAACTCTTCAAAGTCAAAATCATTTATTTCAATTGGACCACGAAGGCACTTTTGAATGTTAACAAAAAAATTAAAAGTGAAGCTAGTTGCTCGTTCCAAGGTGTAGATTCCTATGGAGAAGAACGAGCAAGAAACTCCGTAGCTTACTCTTTTTTAATCAGGTTCACAATACAATTCTCTAGTTACAAAGGTTTGGTGTTTTAGATTTACTACACACATACTACAGGAAGGACAGATCCGATAAGGAGTGGGTGGGGCATCAGAAGAGAGCTTCTTCTATCAATTAACTCAGAGGCCTTAGACGGCTTAGTACGAGTTTCTTTTACGTTTGAAGTAATCATAACAAGTACGCATTTATTACTGTGATTGGCCGGCACCAATGAACAAACTAAAAAGAGCACCAAACGCTGTCTTGTTTCGATTACTTTTAACGTAAAAGTAACTCGTACTTAGCCGTCTGATATTCTAGATCCGTCATTAAGCAAAATAGACAATGAAATATCTAAAACAAAATATGAATAAAATTAAATTTACTAAGGGTAGATTTTTCGATCATCAGTAATTTTAACTGTAGAATAAAATTGTCATTTTACAGTTTTCAGTTTGGAACAATTTGGATGTTGACGGGGTATGAAAATTAAAAATATAATTAGTCCGTAAGTTAGGTAATGAAAAAATATTAGACACGTATTTTTATATTTTATCGTATAATAAAACAATACTTGGATAAAACGAATCAATGTTTAGGAGTGGAAGCTAAAAAGTCACTGTAAGAAAATAAAAAATATGTGTCTAATGATTTAGAATAATCTACCAGACGGACATTAAAATAAAAATTAGGCATCTACCCTATTGTCAAATGTTCAAAGTTATCCATCTGTTAAAACATATCTGGCATTGAAAAAATTTACCCTGAAACAGGAAAATTATAATAAAATTTTCTATACTTACTTAAATCCTGTAATTATTGTGGTAATTGACTCCATGCTATTTTTTATAACCATTGCTTGTGTGGTCATAAATATTTCATTCAATGTTTAATAATTATTTTCCTCTAAATGGTTAGGCGAATTGTACCGTTAGTTATGGAATAGTAATAATCTTATACTATTACATATATTAACGATCCGCCCCATCTTCGCAAGGGTGCAATATGCATGTATTAAACATATAAACCCTCCTTAACAATCACTCTATTAAAAAAACCGCATCAAAATCCGTTGCGTAGTTTTAAAGATCTAAGCATAGATAGGGACACACAGACGGCGGATAGATACTTTGTTTTGTACTATGTACTATATTATGTATTTTATTATATAAAGTTAAAAAGTTTATTTGAACGCGCTAATCTCCGTAACTACAAGTCTGATTTGAATAATTCTTTTTGTGTTGGATAGCACATTTATTGAGGATGGCTATAGGCTATATAACATAACACTACGACCAATAGGAGCTGAGCAGAGCGTGTCAAACTGCGCGGAAGTATCTAGTAATAAATATATAATATAAAGCTGAAAAGGTTATTTGAACATGCTAATCTCAGAAACTACTGATCCGATTTGAATAATTCTTCATCACGATACAACCAATAGGAGCCAAGGGTAACGGGTAAAATCATGCAGGAGTAACTAGTAATTATAATTATAAAAAAAGGTAGGAGTTCCTTTGTGAAGCTACCTCATTAGACACTCTTACCCACATGGGACTCATAACATACTACATAGTTACTTAACACCCACACATAGTAGGCTATATTTATTTATTGCACACACACATATTACAATTGTTATTACACACTTAGTTTTCTTTTAACGCGATAAAGTAATTTTACATAAAAAACTTTTGACTGCCTCGTTAGCCGAGTGGTCGCAAGTGCGACTGCCAGGCAAGGGGTCTCGGGTTCGATTATCGGGGCGGGAAAAGTATTAATGACTTTAAAAAAAAAAAATTCAGTAATAGTAGCACGGAGTCTGGAATTGTGCCCGGTATAGGCAATAGGCTAACCCCCTATTACATGGGACTCATAACATAAATAGTGGAAAGTGTGTATTACATTGTACAGTGGCATAATGTGCACATTATACTACTATAGAAGGGGTAGGCAGAGGTGCACCTCTGCCTACCCCTTCGGAAATAAAAGGCGTGATGTTATGTAAAGACTTTTCACAACAAATAAAAACAAAAGAAGTATACTAACTATGTAGGTACACACGGAATCGGTAACCAGTTCGCAGCGCTACACATCGACACTACCATCATTTACAGCGTTATACAGTATGCATGTGTGGGAGCAATTTCATATTAATGTGCATAAAAACATTTGTCCATCACGGACACATTGGTAGGTACTTAATATCATTTTAGTGTCGGTATATGTATTAATTTTGTCAATTAAAAACGAGGGTAAAGAGAAAAATAAGTAACAAACATTGAATAAATCCATGAACGATCGAGCTGCATAATAAAATAATATACCCTACAAATGCAATATCTTCTTGAATGACATACGATAGCATAATAAATGTTCATTGTGTGTCGTAGCAAAATAAATGGTTTTTCTTTCTTCTTTCTTTCTTTCATATTATGTGCTGTACCTTTGTCAGACTACTCCTTTGGGATTTTTTTTTGAGTACCGTCGTCGTTGGTGGTATCACTCCGGTCGAGCCGGCCCATTCATGCCGAAGCATGGCTCTCCCACACTTAACCCTTTGAGTACCGTCATTATAGACACAATAAAAGAACAATAGGTTGCGGTCACCGGTGTCCTCGCGGTGTTTGACAGTTTAAACTAGCACTAGGGTTTT